CCTTTCCTCCTCTCCTCTCCCTCTCAGGGTCAGACACTGGTGTGGAAGGGACCCTGACTCTCTCACAAGGGCCAGATAATGTCTAGAACGTGTGAACTGCAGAGAGCAATAAGGCCAGTTTTTGGGTGTAGGGGATTCACAATCTGATGTTAAATTCCACCATTAGAGAGCCACTCTTCTAGCTATAGACAAGAATCTTAAGATACTTACAGTGGAGAAGAGGAAATCATGGAGTCTTATTCATGAGTACCTTGACTCAGTACGTTTATCAGAATCACAGAATCAGAATCTAACCCTTATATCATCAAATCAAGGCACTTCATGTTATAAACGAGCACCCCTCCACCCAAACCCAGATAAATAAAATGGCTTGTCTACAGTCCCGCAGCCAGTTAATGGCAAAGCCAGGACTAGTATAAATGGTATAGGCTCGAAGTGTAAGTGCCAGAAGGCCTGCTCAGGGCAATGCAGGGGCCCTCCCCCTGCCCCCAGCAGTGGCCTGCATCGGAGCAGGGCTGCAGTGAGGGGGGACTGCAGGCCAGAAGAGCTTTGTCTACAAAATCGGAAAAGACTTTAAACAATGAGTTGTTTTTCCCAACCGTAAAAATAATCTGTGCTCATTATAGAAAATGCCTAAAAGGATAAAACCAAATCCCATCACCTAGACCAGCGATTTTCAACCTTTTTCAACTCCTGGCACACATAAACTAATTACTAAAATTCTGTGGCACATCGAAAAATGTATCATATTTTTTGCCAATATAACAAAAGAAAATAGGCATAATTTTGATTCATTCATGCCGGACGGCTATTGTTGAATTGGTTGTTGTCATTTTTTTTATTTGACAATCTAAGGGAAAAGACGTCAGTGCCCCTGACTAAATAGTTAGGTATTGCATGTGTTTAACATTCTTGTGGGATATAAAACTGAAACTGGTGAACACAAACAGCTGTGTGGTGGCTCCCAGAGGGAAGGGGGTGGGGTCCTAATATAAAGTGGCAGGAGAAGATTGGACTTTGGGTGGTGGGCACCCGGTGCAATATACAGAACTTGTAACATAGAAACCCACACCTGAAACCTATATGTTCATGTTGACCAATCTCGCCCCAATAAACTTAATTTAAAAAAACACTGGGGAAAAAAAGGAAGCATTGAAATTTCATGCAATACATTTTTTAAAATTTAAGCACATAAATAAATAAATACACACATAGATAAAATAAAAATTCTAGCATCACACCGTTTGAAAATTGCTGACCTAGAAAGAAGGTATTTTTACATGCACATATATTTTATTAAATTTCATTTTAAAAGTCTGAGCCCTGCCTTTTTCATTTAGAATAGCTAACAAGCACCTTAACAAATCATTAAAAACAACTCAAAAATATAACTTTAATGGCTGTGTAATATTTCATCATGCCTGTATCCTAAT